AAGTGAAGATCGGCAAAACAAAATTAAGGAATCAATTTAATCAAATTGAAACAATCAATTTAAATATTCAATCTACTCATCATAATCATCATCAGCCTCACCTTAATCATCATCATCAGTTTAATCACAATCAAAGTGATCACTTTCCTTAATTTCACTTTTCTCAATGAACATTTTCTGGGTGTAAACAGGCAACAATTTACAAATTGTAACTATTAACCTAATTAAAAATTGTCATCTAGATCATAATGATTATATAATCAATCAGTTTTTTTTTAATTGTTGCTAATCAAAATGGTTCATTTGTAATCAGAAAATAGGTTGGTTATAATATTTTGTTTGTTAAATTGTCACTTGAACTTTCACAACGACATCGACAATCAAGTTGATTGTTTAACAATTAAATCTAATGATACTTGATTTAAATTGCTACTGATGATAAAGTTGAATGTGTATTTGATTATGTTAATTGTTGGTTATTGTTGTTATGTAATATTGGTAGAGAGCAAAAAAATAAATTTAAGTTTATTTTGATTAATATACAAGAGGAAAATTAAATTTCAACAGTTGATTGAGAAAACTCATCAATCCAAACAATTTACTGATTCACTTGGAAGATAATATTTTACAACAACTTGTTATTAAATCAATTGAACAACCATGTTAAGATGATGATGATAAACATAAACTAGTTTGTGAAGTAATTTAAATTGTTGATCAATTGATTACCATCAACTCCCACATGATGATGATATTATATTATCATTGGTGAGGAAAAATCAAATTATTGGTTTGAAATAAAAAATATATTGAACAATTTAAACTTGATTAACCATTAAATCCAGTAAATCTCAAAGTATATCATTATTGACAATCAAATTAAATCAAGAAGGTCACACAATCAAATAGGATTAACATTTGATGACCATTCAAGTGTCAAGATGACCATTGGTCAGTATTGATGGTTAAACATCAAGAATAAGCTGAAGAAAATTAAATTAAATTGTTCTGATAGGATTAAATTTAATCTCTTCAATTATTATTAATGTTTACAAGTTGATTTAATATTCAAACAATTTAAATTATCAATTAAACTGTATCAATGTTTTCCTTTGATCAATTTGTTAGACTTTAAAAGTTCATCATTAAATTTAATCATAATCATTGGGTGCTAATTTTATATCAAATTGTTAAATCATCTCGAGTAATTTATATATAAAAATTTACAACAATTTAATGTGATTTGTTTAATTTTATCACCAATCAAGATAATCAAATGCTGTTAAATGCTTTACGCTGTTGGCCTCAGAATTGACCTCAAAGTTTTAACTGTTAATCGCAATTATTATAATTATAATCAAATTAATATATTTAGTTGATTGTAATTGTATTTGATCAGTTTATTGAACTTAAATTGTTAAGGTTAACAGTTAATCTTGTTTATTTCAATTAGTTGAAATATTTTTTTTTCTTTCCGAAATTCAATTAATTGTTATTCATGTTAAAAACTGTATCATTGTTTGTCTTAACAGTTTATCAATCTAATCATGATTAAATTTGATTGCTAAAGTGTCGACTTTGATTAACAATTAAAACTTTAATGACAGTCAACTAAATTAAACTTTTAATTACTTCAAGGTAGATCTAGTTAACTAAATGTCAATAGGTAAACCTAATTGTGACCATAAAAATATCCTCTTAATTGCTTAGGAAGCAAAACTTTTATCACAATTTAATTTTGATAATTAGTTGATTATCCTAAATGATTATGATTATCTAATGGACTTTAGTTTTCCGCTAATTGTTTGCTGTTGCTGTCGACAATCAACTAACTACTATTACTATTGAAAGACTCAGAGAGGGAACCAATTATTTCAAAATGATAATCGATCAAAATTTAGATGGAAACAATTTGTTAATCATTTACAATCAACTAATTAACTATTAATAGTCTAGTTTGTTTTGTTTTTATCTTTATGATGATAAACAAAAGAGGCTTAGAGTAAATAAATCATTGCCATGATTGTTTGATTGTTGATTATAAGTTAAGGTGAATTTTTTTTACGTTGGATGATTTAAATGATCACAATTAAATTGTTAAATTGTAGATTCATTTATCGGCAATTAATTTACGGTCAAAAGGGGCTGGAAAATGTTTAAACTAATCATCAGAAGCAACAATTTTCATCCTCATCATGATCGTTTTTCATCATTATCGTAATCAAGCTAATCCCTAATCATGATCAAGTTAAAAAACAAAATGGCTGCTGATTGTTACTATTAGAGTCGAGGTGTGGCCATCATGATGACCTTATAAGGGTCTCAAGACCTTACCTAGTGGATGATGAGAGGAAATTATATCTTTCCATGTTAATCAATGATCAATTATCATGAACTGAATCAACAGGTTAGTTTCTGATTTCACTTGATCAGAATGGGAAAAAAATGAACTTTTTTTGCTCATTTTGTTTCTGTCTGCATCTAATTTTGATTCTTAATTGTGATTAAGTGAGACTCATCATAATGAACAATATTCACATCATTGATTGTGATTAAATTGTTAATAACTGATTCGGTTAATCGTTTCATATTGTGTCTCAAACTTTTTTTTAAAACTTTATCAACGTTCTGATTGATTAATATTGATAAGTTAATTGTAATTTTAGTCGTTTTCTGATTACTGATCATTACAATTGTTATTTAGTATTAAGAAGTTGTTCATGTTAATTAATCACGATTAATATGCAAAAGTCAAAGTTGATTAACTTATCAGTTTATTAATAATGAAAAACGATTTAAATTGTTGAAGTCTAATCACTTTCAACGATTTGATTTTGGTTAACAATTTAATTTCCGGTAAATTGTCTGTCTTTTTATTCACGATTTCAATGTTTTATTATGTGAACAATTAAGTTAATCATTTGAAGGGATTGAACGACAATCAATTATTGGGACAAGATTTGATCACATTAATTATTTATAAATCAATTATGATCACCAATTAGATTGTTGTTTATAATGAAACAATCACAAACTATTGGGAATCAATTTGATGCTGATAAATTTAAATTGTTATTTAAAAAAGATCGTGAATTGTTAATAATAATTGATTAATTCATTGATTTGCTGGATTAAACAATCAACTGATCATTACATTTATCATTACAATCAAAAATCATGATTAAGTTAAAAATAACATAAAGATGATTAAGATTCGGAAATTAATAAAAAGTTACACATGGGAATCAATTTTAATTCACAACAATTAACTTTGATTATTATTATCAAATTGATTTGTATTATTATGAGATTTGATTAACTATTAATATAACAATTAAGTTAATCATTTTCTTTGAGAAATTAAAGAAGTGAAAACAAATTAATCTACTAATTTAATCACTAATTATTGTTGTTGCTTAAAGTAAATAGTGTTAATATGCAACAACAATTAGTTAATTGTGATCATGTTGATTTAAATGTGAGAAAGCAAATCGTGATACGAATTAATCATAATTAAATCAATAGATAGAGTTAACATTTTGAATAGTTAATTGTTGACCAAATTAAAAACAATCTCATTCCCAATGTTGATATAAATTCATTCACGATTTAGTTTTAAATTGTTATCATTCAATTAACTCATTCAATTCTCATACTTATCACTCATTTAATTATCAACTAATCATTAGTTTCTATTAATAAAATGATTTAGTTAATTGTTGTTGATTGTTGTTGATACTTTTTGTCAACCTCACACCTTTTTTTTAAACAATTTAACAACATTCAATTAAAAACTGATGATGATTATGATTATGATGATTAGTTGATTGAAATAAAATTATTTTATGCTCGCAATCAAATTAATTGGTTAAATTGTTTTATTTAAACGATTAATTTTAAAAAAATTAACTCGATGAGATTCAATTTGATGGATTAAAGTGATTAACTTTGATTATCTTGGATTTAAATTTACCTTTTATGAGAATCAAATCTTAATTAAGATTGAAACATTGAAACCGATTGTGAATAATATACAAACTGAATTAAAAAAAAAGTGCATTCAATTGTAACTATTAATAAATTGTTCATTCAATTTCAATCATAATCCATATTCAAAACAATTAATTGAGGGAAACAAAGTTAATCAATTAAACTTAGTTTTTATTTTAATGTTTAAATCAAATATTACAAATTGATTGGGTTGGTGTTTATTAGAGTTTGTATTACACACTGAATTTGATTAATTATCTTGGTAAAGAAGCAAATAGAATTAACAATTTACGATGATTGTTAAATTGTTACCTTAATTTTTCATCTAAATCAATGAAATTGTGTTGGTGGTAAGGAAAAAAAAAGTTAATTACAATCTGAGAGTAAGAAGAAAACAAAAAGTGTTAGTAAACAATTAACTTTGTTAATTTGGTTGTTACATTTTTATCACACATACATATACCTAATTCACACCTAATGTTAAATTGTTAATCAAATTGTTGTTATGGTTTAGGGTTAATCAGAATATATTTATAAGAATCAAATTAAATTGATGATAATACTGAAAAAGTGTAACTTTTCAAAACCGGAATATGATAAGTTAACAATTCCTGATTTGTAAGTTGTTATATTATCATCAATTTAATTCATTCTCAATCATCAAGATATATTATTATTACTATTATTACAATTAAATCTTACTCTATTATGTTATAATAGATAATAACATGTTGCTGTTATTGTTGTTGTTTTACCTCATGTAATCATCTTGATTAACCATGAGACTGTTGAAACAGTTATTCATGTGTAGACTAACGTTTGGGTCAAACATTTGGTATCATCTTCAACTTGAAGTAATATTAATAGTTTTATAGTAGTAATAATAATAATAATCATTGTGATAACAATCAGAAAACAAAGTTAACCATTTTTCACGATTTTCTTTTCCCTTCATTTTGCTTTTATCCAAATGGCGAAAAAAGAAGTGGAAAACAAAATGTTGGATTAACTCAAGTTTCATCAATATTATCATGTATTATTTATATTCTTTTCCATCTTTATACATCCGCTTCTTCCTTTATCATGGTAATCTTGAAATTAACATTTCCTTTAAGAAGATTTCCCAGATTATTTGTTCTTTTAGTGGAATTTTTTTCTTTCTTTGCCTTCCAATCTCTCAATTCAACCATAGACTCCATAGAAATCTGTCCATCTCCAGCCCGATTGAGCCGCACATCGGGTTAACGTCAGCATTCATTAAAATATCGATGATAAACTGTTTCAAAAAGGGATTTAAGAAAAATGAAATTAATTCAAGTGACACAAAAAAAATCACAACAGAAAAAGAAACAATAAATTATTGTCAACAATCACCAAGATGTTCATTAAGAGATCCACAAATTGAATCAAGTCATCGAAGGTTAAAGGCACGAAACACGAACACAAATAGACAAAAGCTGTTACAATTAATATTATTGGTTAAATTCTGAATAAATAATTAGAGATGATTAACTAGAAAATTAAATTAATCCAAATTAAATTTGATTCCCTCCAAATGAATGACAAGAAATAATCAGTTGTCATTTTCTCGATACATCGATAGTTGAAATCGAAAATCAAATCGATATATCGATGTGAGATTTGTTTTCTTTTCTATTGAAAGTAAATTCAATTTATTAAATTGTTTCTTTTCTCGTTTGTGTTAATCTAATTGTCGTGGTTTGTTTTTTTTTCTTAATTTGGACAATTAACTATTTTGTTTTCTTAATTAACATGGATCTCATTAAAGGTGTTGAACGTCCCTGGATTTATAATGGGAAGATAAACGTTCGATCTTTTCTTGATCTTTGGAAAACTCAAGATTTAAGTCTTGAAAGCAATTTAACACCAGAAACACTTGATGAACAATTTACCAAGATGTTTGATGTTGACCAAGAGATGATTGACTCATTAAAGGAAGATTTATCACCTGATTGTTTAACTGATGTTGCTGATGAAGGTTGGAAAGATTGTATTTATGGTGATAAATTTGCGATCCCTGATCAAGTTAAATTGGTTAGTGTTGCAGCTCAAGTTAAACATATCGAGAAAATGAAAGCTGATCGTAACTATCATAGTCATGCTTCTCAACTATTAAAGTATAGAAATTATACCTTCTTGGACAATTCAGGTAATTAAGTTAACTATTAAGTAACTAACCTTAAAATCTAATCATCATTTTGTTTTTGTTTTATTCTTTTCTGTTTAGAGATGAAAAAACGTTCACCTGATGAGCAAAAAATCACAGATCTTGAGGTTATTCTTAATGTTCAAATATTCAAGCCAATGAAGTTCTCCTTGCATGTTGGTGAACATCGGAAACATGTTAATCCGATTGCCGAACAAGAATTTCTATGTCTTGGTGGTCAATTTTTATCAGCTCTCAGAGATGAGATCATTTGTCCAGTTGATGCTAATCCAGTTGAAGATTGTAGCGATGATCCGAAAAAATCCAAGCCAAGTGGCGGCGAAATTTACACTTCTGGCTTTTTCTTCATAGATGATTGTTTTTACAACGATTTTAGAAAAACATCCAATATAGATTATAGTCAGTAAGTTAAACTGAGCCAGAATATTTTGTAAAAAAACTCCAAAATTTTAACGAACCACATTCTTATTCTGTTCTTTTCTTTTCGAATGTGGTCAGAGTGATTGTAGATTGGGCGAAAAGTTCAGATAGAAGAATTGGTGAACTTCGATCGGCTAAAATGGAGGCTACTTGTTTCATCGATCTTACCATTCGACTTGGTCAACCCTATGTTTATGTCCATCAAGGGAATTGTGAACATATGATAGTCTTCTCAGAGATGCGTTTATTTTCACCTCAAACTGATAGTCCATTTATCGACGATTATCCAAGATTATTTAAAACGGTCAACAAAACTGCTATAATGTGTTATATGTGTGGAATCAATGTCCCCAAATGGCTTGTATTTGATAATAAGAGATTACCTGACAATCCATGGTTATTTTGTGAACAATGTTTCATGTCCTTTAATTACGATTCTCAGAAGAAAAAAGTTGGACATTTTAAAGCTTTTCCTTATTTGGACAAATCTGCAATAATTTGATCAACCTTTTTGATTGTTGAACTTCATCCATTTGTAATATTTTGTATATAAGCAAAAAAACCCATCAATGATCATATATTTTTAATAATTAGAAGAAAATTTTATTAGATAAAACAGAAAATTTTTGATATTTCTGACTCAATTTCATATATTGAATAAATTAAATATAAATAATAATCAAGGAAATACATAATTACCATTAAGAATTAGGAAATTTGGGTAAGGCTTGCATGTGATTACTATTAATTGATGGTAAATGTTTCATTTGACTTTTAAATAACAATCGTAAGAATTTAACCAAACTTTGTCTGAAAGATTCGATTCGTCGACAAAGACGAAATCTAGAACAAAGATTGTTACGATTGTTAATTGTCACACCGAATGGTGATTCCAATGAAGCGATTAACAATCTAATTTTATCCAAATCAATGTCAAGTCTTTCCAATGGAATATGATTTTCAAGTGATCTTCGTCTTCGTCTTCCAGCAAAAGCACCAATCAAAACAGGAAGAGCCAAAGGAATAAGACCAGAGCCTGAAAATGCGAAGATAAATTGTAACAATTTGAATAATTCATCGAATCAATAGATTGGAAAATGACAGAATTAAAAGCAATCGACTTACCTCCAAATGGATCGTAACCAGAGACGGCAAGTAAAGCGGGAACGATGGTGATGCCATAAAGTAGAGCACTTAACATGATTGTACTAAAACCAACTCGCCGAGCGAGCGGGTAAAGTATAACGGGAACTCGCGCTGAACTTTCACCCATAAAGGGATGACTAAATGAAAGATCTTCGGGTGTAGGAGTTGACGATTTGTTGGCGTTTCTTGACGATTCAGAGTCATCAGGCTTTTTCTCCGCCATCGCTGGATGTAGACCGAAAATTTCAGCTGAAACCATAGTGTCAAGGGTCAGGCAAAGGTTAATCGTATGGAAAAGTATAAGATAAATATTAATCGATGGAAACAATTTATGATGTTTATATGGAATAAAAAATTTCATTGTAAACACGATAAACATTTAAACATGATGAGGATCATGATTGAAATTAAGATCAACAGTTAAATGTCAACAAAAATGATGATAATGATAAAGATGATCAATTACAAGTGACAAAAATTTTGTCATCTTTTCTCCCTCTTCATCTCTCTCTCTCTCTCTCTCTCCATCATCTTACGTTTTGCTCTTTGGTGACAAAAAGCGAAACAGGAAGATTAACCTGATAGAACGGGAAATCTTTTCATCTTCTCTTAGAAAACTTATTCCTTATTTTCTTTTCTTTTCTTCCCTGATAACAGAACTTCCGGAAAACATTTAAACCAGAACATTGTTTATTTACTTCAGAGAACGAGGGTGAATAAGATGAGTGCATTAAAACCAACGAATTAGCTGTTTGGATGAGCATGAGGGGCTTTTTTCAGTCTTTTTTGTTTGATTTTCTTTGATTGTTGTGTCATTTCAATTGTTTTCCTCCCTGAAACCATGAACATTTGCCTCAATGTACCAGGAAAAGATTCTGTTTGTTCATCGATCATCAAACCAAGATGAAAATTTGTTCCTATTGAAGAGAAAACTTTTTTTTTGATATAGTTAATAACTAATAGAATATTAAATTAGTTTAGTGACGTTCATATTAATCATCATTTGAACAGGACAATTTAGTGAACATCAGTTGAACATCTCAAGTCTTTTAAAGGGCAAAAGATTAAAGGTGAACGAGGTTCAACAATTAAGTCTTAGTATACGATTAAGTTGATTAACAAGAAAGTTATTGGTTACCTGTCTTTTTACCAGTTGATTATCAAAAGAGGAAAAGGAAATTAGATTCAATAAATGAATTAAAAGGATCCAATTTTGTGAGAATTCAATTAACTTGATTAATTTGAGATTTTGGGTTAGTAAATGATGAAAGATGTTGTTAGTTGTCATCCACCTTCGGAAGATAGCGATTTCTTGTTTGAGTGATTTATCACAAACAACAAAATCACTAGTCTTCCACTAGGAGAATGACTTAATTGTTGTATTGATGAAATTCTGAATAAGAGATAAAGATTAGATGAAAGAGACGAAAGAGATGAATAGTTAATATCAATTGAATGTTGTTGAGATGCTCAAAGATTGATTGGGAATAAATTATTCTTCACAAAGGTAAGTATTACTTTGGTAATGAAAAGTATAAACGGAAGAGGAAGAGATTGAATAAAATAAGAATCCAAGGAATAAGAAGAAGAAGAAAAATATTGAGCAATTGAAGACACAGGTAAAAGTCGATGAGGTTGACAATTTAAATGAGACTAAATCAAGTGAACCACTGACTTTAAGAAGACAAATGTAAATGTCGAAAGGTAGTAAACTCTTTTTTATCTTTACAGAGGGAAGATAAATGAGCTCTCACTCTCTCTCTCTCTCTCTCTTGCTCCCTAATTTCTTCTTCTTCTTCTTCTCTGTCCAAGTTAACAGATACACAGATACATTTATATAAATACCATAGGGTTTGTTGATATAAATATTATTCTCACTCTCTCGGTCTCTCTATTTTCGCTTGACAGTCCAGGTAACTTGGTTGCTCCCTTTTTTAATGGTTTCGCCCATTCTTCATCTCCCCCATTCTATCATCTCCTCCTTTGGTTTTCTTCCTTCTCTCTCTCTCTCTCTTTCTCTCTGACAATTTTCAATTTTTTCCTTACTCTCGCTGCATTTTGGTGAGTGTATATTGTGTGTATGTGTTATATGTTTGCCTTCCCTCCAATGATGATAATGATGATGAAATGATGATAGTTGTGTATATGTAATATGTTCTTTTCCCATAATAATTGTTCCTCTATTTGGTTCCTCTGGTAACCATCAAATGACAACAAACGCTTCTCTCAGGTAATGATTCTTTTGTGGCAATTCTTCATTCTCTATCCATCCTTTTTGCAGAAAAAAAACCAATGATAGAAACCAATATAACCTCATAATGAGTTTCTCATCATAGAGCAACGTTATATTGTTTTTTTCTCTTTCTCTCCCATACACTTTTTCCCATTCTCACTCTCAATGGAAATGAGAGAGAAAGAAAAGAGAGAGTTCAAGTATAAACAGCAAATAGATATGACAGAAATATAAGTCAATTTGATAATTCACCAGCACTATTATCATCACTTTTTCTGTTTCCAGTTCCTATGCATGGTATGGTAACATCAACAAAAAGGGAACCATATTAGTCAGGCGATCCTTAATGAGAAGATAATTATTCATCTTCATAATTAAATGGTATCCAAATGATGGGATCTCTTTCTCTCTCCTTTATTTCTCACTGAGTAAGAGAGAGAGAGAGAGAGAGAGAGAGAGAGAGATGTAATTATTGATGAAGTGTTATCCCTTTTTCGATCCATATGATATGTTAATTGTTTTCCAATATCGAAGAGCACATATATTTATAAAAAGGTGAATTGATCCGATAGAATTCTGAAAGAAAAAGAAAAATATATTTATCGATTTAGTTTGAATTATCTTATTTTCTTGGTTTGTTTTGTTTTGAACGTTCGCATTTGAACACAAGGGAATCATTTCATTAATAAATTTGTATCACAGAGAGAAAATGAAGAAAAGGGAATGAAAATAAACCATTCAGCTAAAAGTAGAGTTTCAATAGAATCCATGGTCAATATTGGATAAGATGAATTTGAATTGTTAATAATTTCTATTCTTTTGAAAATCAAAATGAATAGAGATGAAGGTTAATTATGAAGATGATCGATATGTTGATATTGTTATCAATTCAAATCTTGGGAAATTTAGGTGACAGAAAATGTTGACTATAGATAAACTCTGGAAGAAGAACCAAGAGAGAGAAAGAGAGAGAAAGAGAGATTATCAACTTGAATCAATCCAGAACACAGAACCAGTGGGTTACATGGAAAAGGTTAATCAGAGTTAATCAGATGAAATATCTAAATGAAAGAAACAAGGATGAAATTCTGGAATGATACAAAGTCACAAGAGATTTAATCTCTCTCTCTCTCTCCTTCTCTCTCTGTCTCTCTGTCTCTTTCAAATAAGATGAAGAAGTGGTGATAGTGTTAACAGAGGTAAAACACACGAATGATGACAGTAAAGATGATAGTGTATAATGAGATGATGATGCTAGAAGAAAGAGAGAGAGAGAAGGTAAAATAGAATAAAAAAGAGAGAGAAAAAGAAAGAGAAAAATAGAACATGTAGAAAGCGATAAAATAGAAAGTGGATGACAGATGATGGAAAATTACAGTTATATTTACTTGGAAGGTAAAGAGAATAGAAAAACCAAATTTCCGATATCAATTGAATTCTCTTTGAAATCACAACTAAATTAAATTGGAATAAGAAACAACAACAATTAACAAAAAAAAAAGAATAATCAACAATTAAGAAAAAAGGAAAGGCCTTCAACCCAAAAGAAATCATCATATTGTACACAACAGATACTCCAATATACTCACATGAAGATTTAAAGACCAGGCCAAAGGTTAGAAAATGAGAATTAATTTGGTTCCAATTATTAATAGATTGAATTTAATTTTCTAATTATCATGATAACACAATTAACGAATTGGCAACATTGAGAATTAATTGTTTTTCACAAATATTAATAAAGAAAGAGAAAATGATGATAAAGAAAGAGGAAAATTTATCATCTCTTTTTCATCTTCTGATAAAAATGTTTCCCTTTTGATTGGATTTTGGCGGAAAATTAATTACGCGGAAAATTTAACCGAACCTAGAACAACAATTAACTAATAGAATTAAATTAACTCCAATTCTATTTGGTGTTGTATCTGTTTTCTAATCATTCAGAAAGTGTTATACATTTTTTTAATCCAGTTAATTGTCCATTTCCATTTTGATAATGTTTTCCATACAATCAACTGATTAACAACAGAAAGCAAATTGATTTAATTGTCTGATGATACAAGTTAATTAATTAATGAGATGAACAGTTTAATGTGTTAATCTTTGTTACTAGATTAATATGTTATTAAGAATTGAATTGATACTATTGCGTGATAATTGAATTGCTGTTAAATGGTAACAATTTAGTTGATTAGTTGATCCCAAATGAGTTTAGACCTTTGGAAACAACAATCGTAACAATTTAATTAAAGTTTGCTTTCAATTTTTCACCACGCAATCAATCAACAATTAGTAATTAAGTATTACCATTAATTTATTTGCTTTTATAAGAAACATTGTACAATTAATTAAATAAAAAAGAGTGAGAAAGTTGAACAATTAACTTCATCTTATAATTAATTTAAGTTAATCAATATTATTATTATTATTATTATCATGATGATTAATGTCACGTTAATAGTTAACAATATATATAAATGTTGATTTAATTGTTGATAGATAAACCAGTTAACTATTACTATTTAGTTTCACATCATTGATGATCCATGACAATTAAATTAAATTGATTATCATTAAATTGTTCAATGATTATGGTTATTGTTTTTTAACGGTGTTTCCATTTTGTTTAATTGTGATTTAAGTTGTTATTATTAACACTCTTGGGTAAGAATTGAATTGCTGTTGATGAGACGATGATATTAATTGTTTGGTGTAAATTGGTCAACAATTAACCAAACCATCTCCAGACAAACATAACTGTTTTAGTTGATTGGATACACTTAATTGTATCTGGATTGTAATTCCAATCACCATTAAGTTGACATTTAAGTGGTTGAATTATGTTAACTTTATACCCGACGGAACAAGTTATCCGACATTGACCTCCGATTGAATTGTTACAACGGAATAGCCGACCATTGATCGGAATAGTGGGCGGACGGCAACAACGACCTGAGGCACAGTGTTGAGTTGTTGCGACTAATTAACAAAGTAGAAGAAAGAAAATCAATTTGATAAGAGTTAATTATGATTTATTAATTGTTCGCAACTTGTATTATTTACTTTAATGTGTTTTTAATTTACAACGTTCATTGGGTCAGTTGTAATTAACTCACTTTGACAGATTCCTAATCGCCCTGACCATTGGCCAGAGTTTGTACAAGTGACCACTAGTTGACCCACTAACCTGTAACCTCTTGAACAAACAAGGGTACAGGTTGAACCCGAAATACCTGGTGCACATTTACCGTAAAGAACACCGCCTCGGGGTGGACGTAAGGGTTGACAAAAGGTCGATGGACCAGTGGTTGGGTTGATGGTTGGCTTAGGTGAGGTTGTAGGTTTAATTGTGGTTACATCTGGATAAGGGTCAGTATAATCAGGGTCAGGATATGGATCAGGATCCGGGTCAGGGTCAGGGTCAGGATCGGGGTCGGGATCTGGATCAGTTCCTGGTACCGTTGTTGGTGTAGATGTTGGTTCAGAGCCGATTTCTGGTTACAAAAATTAACCAAAGTTCAAATCAAACAATTAAATCATTCATATAAAATGTCCAAATCTTTGAGTCTCATGTTTTAATTGTCATTTAAATTGAGAAAAATGAAAGACAATTAAACTCTAATGATTATTTTAAATTAACTAGGACAATTAATGAATCACACATTATCAATGTACATTTTTATTATATGTAATATCATTTCCTTTGTTGATTTTTGTTTTATAAATTATACTTTTAATTGTGATTAAGATAAATTATCGTCGGTAAGAATCAAATCTATACATTTAAATTGTCACAATTGCACGCAAATTGTGACTTATTAACTGAATTAAAAAGTTCTATCCAGTTCTCTATGGATATGATAATATAAACAAAGATTCAAATTAAACTTAACAATGGAAACAAAAAAATAACAATCAATTGATTTTTCCCTTACAATTGAACTAATCAATAAATTGATATAATTTAAATTGATTCCAAAGGAAAGTTAATTCAAATTCAAAATGATAACAATTTAATCAATATCACATTATCATTGAATTGATTTTAATGATTAAAAGAAGAAGCAAAAAACAGTGACAACAATTAATCGTTAATCACAATCAGTTTAAATGGTCAGCATTAAATCATTTTGAATGATTCTCGATTTAAATGTTGATAGTTAATAGAATAATAATTTTTAATTGTTGACATTTAACTAAATCAATGGAAAGAATTGATTTTATTTTTTCAAAGAGAAACTCAACGAAAACCTTAATTGTTATTCTTAATTATATTATTATCGATGAGGAGAAACTTTTAAAGATTAGATTTAGTTTATTTCTCAAACTGAATTAAAAATATTCTGGTTGTCAAGGTAATATTAATGATGAAGAGTTAATTTGTATTTCAAAAGAAATTGAATCAATTTAAATATCTATTAAATTTAACGACAATTTGGCAACTCACCTCGACAAATGGGCTGAAAATGAGACCATCGTCCGCCCTCCCCACAGGTCAACACATTAAAACCCTCCAGGGCACATCCCTGATTACAGGTAAAGTTACAGGTTTCACCCAAAGTACCTGGTGAACAAGTACCATAAGCGTAACCACAAAGAGGTGAAATTAGTGACGGACAAGAGGCCAAGGTACAAACGGGTGGAACCGATGACCAGGTACCATTGAGTTGACAAAGGGAACTCGAAAGACCTCTTAGTCGATAGCCCACCGGGCAGGTGAATGAACATCTTTCCCCTGGATAACCTGGGTTACATGTACCTTGTAGTCCACCATTTGGTGAGGGTGGTAATAAGGATTCGCATGTGACCTGGATACATGTTGGTACTTCATTAGACCAAGTACCATCGGGGAAACATTCGGTCACCAGTTGAGATTCACTGGACAATGAGTAACCCTTTTCACAACCGAATGAGCAAAGTTTACCTGGTACACCAGGTGAACAATCCCCGCGCGTGTAACCATGTTCAGGAGGAGAAATTGGTGGACATGAACGACCAGAACATGATGGAATCGGATTATCCCAATTTCCATTGGGTAAACATGTCAATTCACTTGGACCACTTGGTAAAGTTCCGGAAGAACATAGAATTGTACAGGTTCGTTGTGAATATCCAGGTGAACAGGTGCCCGACAACTGACCATTAGAAGGGGCGACTAAGGGTGGACACGATATCGGTGGTGCTTCCACACACCGAGGAACTGGGTGATTCCAAGTTCCATTACCGGTACAGGTTAACAAAGGTTCACCCTCTAAATTGAGGGACGGTGAACAGAAAATTGAACAAGTTGAACCAAAAGTGGCACCCGAACAAGTACCGTTAGTTTTACCTCCTGACGGTGGATAAATTGGTGGACAAACTACCGATGTACAAATGGGCAATTCACCGATAGCCCAATTACTAGTTTCGGGTAGACACTCGAAACTTGGTTTACCCACAAGTGCGAATCCAAAATTACACCGATAGGTACACGTAGAACCCACTAGACCTGGACTACAAACACCTTCGGTGTAACCATTGGCCAAGGGTTGAATTGGTGGACAAGTTTTCCGTTCACAGGTCGGTAAACTTGCCGTTCCCCACCCATTGGGTGTGCAACGTAATTCAGTAATTGGATTAATATAATTGGGCCCACAATTGAGTAAACATGTTTGACCACAAAGACCTGGATCACAATGTCCAGAATAAGATCCGACTATTGGACCAGGTAATCGTGGACATGTTATGGGTATACAATTTGGCAATGGATCAGACCATTGGCCAGTTTCCCGACAAGTTAAACTTGGATTAGATGTCGGAGTATAACAAGTATCACAGATTAAATTACACGATTCCATGGCCTTACCTGGATTACAAGACCCATTCAATTGACCATTTAAGGGTCGAGTTAATGAAGGACACGAAACAGATTCACAGGTCGGTGGTGCGCCAGACCATTCACCCGTTTCTGTACATAAAAGTGTCTCCGAACCACCGACTAAGCTATAACCACGTAAACACTGATAAGTACAAGTTGTACCAACAATTCCTGGTGAACAATTGCCCATTAAGAGGGTATTTGGTGACCTGGTTAACGGGCGACACATTATTTGAGCACAAACGGGCATTTCACCCGACCAAAGGCCACCAGGTAAACATGAAAGAGTCGATAATCCAACCAATTTGTACCCAGAATTGCATGAAAATGAACAAAGTGAACCAGGAAAACCAGCTGAACACGAACTATCAATTTGTCCATTTGAAAGGCCACTAATGGGTGGACAACGCGGTGCTAAAGTCGTTGTTGTGGTCAATGTACACCGAGGATTAGGATCAGACCAAGAACCGTTAATATGACAAACCGATTGTACCAAACGATTGAAGGAATCGCCGTAACATTGGATTATACAAGTTCCCCCAGCGAAAGGTAAACAATTACCGATTAGCCGACCATCATTAGGGACAATTAACTGTGGACATTGAATTTGTTGATCTAAAGTAATTTACAACAGATAAATAATCAATCTATGAGGAAACAAATTAACATCAAACAATTTAATTACTTATGCACATTGAATCTTCACCAGTCCAAGTACCGTTATCGCAACATGTCCGATGCGATGACCCAATCAATTCAAATCCCCGTTGACACCCAATTAAACATCGTTGACCAACAACATTCAAACAAGAGCCCGTTGGCCATTCACCGTAAACGGGTAAACTTAATGGTGAACAATTTTGACCTGACAATTTAATGGAATCAGAAATTTAATCACAATTTGTAAATGGAGAAAAATGTTGACAAAATTAAGATTAACTCACAATTAACATGCGACAATAAATTGAAACAAATCAACAAGATAAATAATAATATACAAAGATTTACATTTAACCGATTGGGATGATTAAAGTTACTCCAATTAACCATGATAAGTCATTGGAAATTGTTGATTAGTTGATCGATAATCAATTGACCATTGATTGTATCGACAACGAAGCAATTTAATCATATTATTAATGATGATACTATAAGAGGTTATTGAAGATTAATCCATTTTATATAGACTCACAATTAATCAATAGTTAAAGTAGTAATTTGTTAACCCTTTAGTTATCACAATTAGAGGACAATTAACAAAAAGTTGGACTTGAAATGGACAATCAAATATTAAAAACTAGACTTATATTAACAATTACAATGATTAAAACTTTACTATTCTAATCACAATCAACTTTACCATCATTAAACTTGCACCACCAACAATTAACTTAATTATATGCTCACTTTTTAATCACGATAAATTGAATAATTAGCTTAATCATGTTTCCAGAAATGTTTTTTTTTTCAATCCAATGGTTTAAATGATGTTAATGATTAACTTTAGTGTATTACTTTTGTTTGTGATTTAATTATGTTAATAACAAAAAATATACGAGACAAATTGTGTTATTATGATTAAGGGTAAATTGTTAACAATCATAATCTAAATTAAATTGTTGATTACAATATTTTCATCAAAGAACCGGAAATTTATTCCTCTCAGACTTAATAACAATCAAAAAAGGGAAACAACCAATTACTTTTATTTTCAATATCATCAACAAACAACAATCAAAACGTTAATTATAAATTCAGACAATTAACTACAACACTATGAAAAAAAAATTGATCACAATTAAAAATAAATATCAAAATTAACCAACGATGATAATAGTTAATTAACTTGAGGGATTCCCATTACCCTTACCCTCATGAGATGAATTAAAACTAATCAAATCAAATCAAATTAACTTAAATTTCATATAATACATAATCCTAAATGAGTTAATTGTGTTAATCTTTTAGTCAAATTGTTTCTCAATCAGTTGATTGTTGTTGACTCTTTTTTTACCTTTAAACATATTAAATTGTTTCTCAGAGCAATTGATCATTTGTAACTGTTGAAAATTGATCAGCAATTATATTCCAATGATGGATGATTAAGTTTCCTAACAATTAAGTTTAGGTGGGAATATATTTATCGGGGAGTCGAGTGATTTAATCGAGGGTGGAAAATAAAACAAGATGAATTAATGAAAATCAATAGTTAATAATGATTGTTATTGTTATTGTTTCATCAACAATTTAGATCCCAAAGTTACGGTCACCAAGGAAATCAACAAATCATTATATTCAATCATCATCATCATCAATATTATTATCATTATCATGACAATTAAATGTTCATTTTTAATTTAATCAATTTTGTTTAGAATCCATTTTCTCACTGATTTAGTAACAGTAACACAATCAAGTTGATTAATTCATGGATTCATCAATTGTTATTATCATGAGATTAACTTGATCCTTACAAATTAACTAATTAGTTTTCAAAGTAAAATATTTTTATTATTATCATTATATATCAGTAATATAATCAAATATCTGAACATAATCAAGCATCTTTTGTTAATTGATTGTAATTATAAATTCAATTATATACATTTTATATATAAGTGATTAACTGTATATTTTGTTTTCATGAGATATTGGATATTGATGATTAATGTATTTGATTTTGTACAATTAAATTGATTGACCCCGGAAGCAAAAAATGGTCCAATTGATGATGTGGTTATCCAATAGAGCTGATGATGAAATACTAATATGATTTGATGATGATGATGATGATGATGTTGGTGGTTAATATGGTTTGCGAGGTTGTTGATTTGTTGTCCAATAGATGAGATATAATTAGAGAGTTAATTGCCATAGATAATTAATATCTCGATTATTGTTTGGTTGACATAATTTGTTTGTTTTTTGTGTTGGATTAATTGACAGGATTGAGATTACATTGAAATGAGAGGGTGAGAGAGTCTATTTTTACATGATGATGAGTTTGTAACACTTTTCCTCGGTTTCTTTGTTTTTCCTAATTGTGTCAATTATTTACATTATTTTGTTGTTGTTGTTTGTGATTCCATATTGTTGATGTGTATTTATAATCCAAATTGTTGATATCATTTTCAATTAATGGTTTTATATTTACGATTATGAAGATGTTGTTGTTTTAAGTGAGTTTGTTTTACTAAACTAATACAAAACCTACAATCACAAACAGGAAGATAATTAAGAGAGACAGAAAGTAAAAATTGGAAGGTTAAGGTAATTAAAGTGAGAGATTAAGATTTTTTTTTAGATTATATTATATTTTTGGGACTCAAAGGTTAGGAAATGGGAGTTGAACCTAAGGATTTGTTGGATTTTTTGGAGTTAGTATTGTTGATTATGGTCATTCTGTTAGATCTAATTTGATTTAATCCTCTCACTGCTGCAGCGTAACTTAAACCTTTTGGACAAACAGAAAAAACTAATTCATATTAGTGACAATGAGCGTAGCGATTGAATGTAAGTTACCTGTTGGCGTTAATGAATCTCGCCTATCTATCTGAGCCAAAGGTATTTCAGAAAGTTTATGCTGACGGACAAGGTTACATTCACCGCCCTCGGCTATATTTAAATCGTAAAGGTAAACATAACCATCATAAGAGGCAACCATTAGCCAGGGTGTTTCGTTGATCATGGTTATCGTGCAAACAGTTTCCAAATTTTTCAATGGTAATTTAGCATAAGCGAATGACCTTTCCTGATTGAATACCTTTGAAATGTTTGCAGGTAAATAAGATTCGGAGGCTCGACCAAGGTAATCAATCCAACTGGTACTTTCTTCTTTGTGTCGATTGGCAGGTGAAGTGTCCAATTTGAATATGTGAATTGTTTCCGTTGAACTGGAAGCACAAAGGAAGAGGGAATTACATCCAAAGGATAAAGAGTAAATGTTGGCACATCTAGTGAATCCACGACGAAACTCATATAAACAAGATCCATCTAATATTAGATGGACTCGAATTATGGTTCCCTTTTCACTGGCAGTAGCGATTTTATCACCAGCAGAATCAAAAGTCATCGCTGCCAGTGGATTATCATGAGCAGGTATGATTATCTTATCTTGTAAATTCATACAATCATAGATAATCAATTCTCCTGTGTTAGGACCGCCTGGATAAGCGAGAAGACAATTCTCATCGTTTGGTGATAAAGCACAAAGACCTTTTGAGTTACAGGGTGTTTGCTTAATTCTATGTAGATCAGCCATGAATTCACCATTTAGACCAGTATGAATATAGATGGCATCTTCTAGGACAACCACGATTCGAGATCGATTCATTCGTACACTAAGGATTGAATTATTGTAACATCTTGGATCACATATCATTACATCACGTTCAACGTGTAAAAAGTTGACCTTTCGAGGGGATTGAAGGGAAACGTAGGCCAAAATACTGGAAGAGAAACATCTTTCTGCAATGTAAATTTCTTCCTCTGCGCATCCAGTTAACATACGAAGATCATCTGTAGCTTGGAAGTTGATTAACTGAAATCCAGATCGGGTTCCAACACAAAGGGAAGTTGAATCTTGATTGAATCGGACATATAAGTATTTTGATTGATACTCGGTCTCTGGTATAGACATGGTGATGATGATTGATTGCTTTGGTTGTCAAAAGGTTCAGTGTTTTTGTAAATATTAATGAGAAAGAGAAAGATAGAGAAATAATCAAGGGCACGAATCCAACGAAAAAAATGTCTCAAGGTAGATGAAAGTCCTTGTCGAAGTTACCAAAATGAATGAGCAATTTAAAATGATGGAATTGAGTAATTACTGTGATTATAAGGAGAAAAAAAAACAAAGAGAAATTAGTTAAATATATTGAAACGTAGAAATATTTCTAATGAATTGTATTAGTACAAAATGTAAACAAAACACAAAAGTGATGATAAGGTGAAGATAAAAATCAAAGATTGTTTTTGAATTGATGTAAACATAGAAAGAGGGAGAAAATTGGGAAAAGAAAGACAAATAGAAAGGGAATCTAACAAGGCAATGAAGATTAGAAATAAAAATTACAACAATTATAACTGATGATAATTAATGACGATGACGATGATTATGACTTAAGCAGAGAGAGAGAGAGAGAGAGAAACAAAAAATAATAAGCAACAATATACACAAATAAAGAGATATAATTGAATGTATAAATAGTGTGACAGGATAATCACAATTAAAGAAAAAATTGATTGTAAGAGTGTGAAAGTGTAATCAGAGAATATTAAGGAAAGAAAGTCCAGAGAATAGAAAAAAAATGGAGAAAAAAAATAGAAAACAGGAAATAAAGAACAAAGAGATTTTGACTTACCTTTAGAATCTATGATATTTTCTTGGGAAGAAAAGAATATTTTTTTTCTTGAAGCAAACAGGATGAAAGTGATAGATTTAGAACCAATTCCAATGGGGTTTGTCTCTTCTTCGCTTAATTTATTCGCTTTTCGCTAATTATAATGATAATTAACAGGAAGCTTACAACCAGTTTATCTTCTAGTGGCAGAAATTAAAACCCATCCAACAGAAGAAGATGAAAGTAAAAGAAACAAAGGAAAGAGAGATAGAGTGAGAGAGAGATTTATAGACAAAATGAGAGAGAGAGAGAGAGATACAGAAAGAAAAAGAGTCCAAAAGATGGATAGATGGATAGAAAAACAATGAACAAAAGTGAAAGGAGAGGAAAAAAGTTCGCTGGTTTAAAAGAAAAGGATTAAGCTTAATCTCCAGTTTAATCTTTTAACAGGTGGACGAGAATCATTTTTAAACTGAGACAAACCAGTTTAAAGAAACGCTCAAAATTTCAATTCCAATCGAAATTTCAGTTAAATAATTCACTAAATCACATAGGTAAACATTGAATAATTAAATTAATCGCAACATAATTAATTTATTAATGGAAATGTTTTAATTTCAATAATTAACAATTTATTATTGTTGTCAACAGAAATGTTTGTTTACATTTTTTTTCATCGAAATTTTTCTGAAACTTGAAAACTATCGCCATCTATGTTTATCGAAATGAACTAAAATTTACCTTCCATTTTTAACTTTGATTAGAATTTAATTTCTGAATTGATTTGTCGATTTCAAGTTTAATTGGGAGAAATTTGCCAATCAATTGAAATCGATCAATGAGTAATTGATAACCGTGAAAAACAGAAAAGAGATAAATCAAAATGAATTAATTTGTGGAAGAAAAAATCAGAAAACAAAAAAGTATCAAGGACACAATTTAAATCCAATGAAATTAACTTGAATCATTTAATCAGCTGATTGTTTCAATTAATGTAATCAGTTTGGATTAGTCGTTTAGTTGAGGTCATGTTGGAAATTTTGATCATTAAATATCTCTCATTGAATTTCTTACTCTATCTTTTCGGTCATTTTTTTTATTCGAAGATATGACAATTTGAATTGATCTAATTAGAATATTTTGATTTAGCATGTTGACCTTTGAACTCGTGCATTAAGCTAACTGAAGATAAACCAGTTTCTCTAGATAATAATCAATATTAATAATCAAATTTCTATCCAATTATGGTGATATAAATAAACGATGAAACAAGTGATTGATTTTTTTTAAAAATTCTGACCTAATTTTATATTCACCTTGACAAAAGTTCGGAGCACTTCAGGTCACTTGAAACGGGCACTAATTATCGAGAATTAGCAAATAGTTTTTAGGTTTAACCGACTGCTTGATGGCACAACTACAATAGCCTAAGGGCTTTCTCTTTTTTATAGCTACTTTGAGAAGTTCATAAGAAAAGATGGTAATATTTCAGTTTCTATTACTTTGAGTATAAAGAATCGGAGAAATAAAAAATTTAAATAAAATTAATGACAAATCATAAGAAGAATCATAAATTAATCAATAAATTATCATGTGAAAAAACCAGGAAACAAAAAAAAAATCAACGTTGCAATTTGAATTCACTGCAATGGGAATACATTATTAGCTCTAATGATTAAACTAAACTAAGAGTAAACAACGGAAATCAGCTGATTACTTAAAGTAAATTTAATTTAATAATAATAATCACCAGAACAAGAACATAATCAAATATTAAAGAGAGAGAGAGAGAGAGAGAGAGAGAGAGAGAGAAAAGTTCAAGCGAACTAAAAGTTCGAGCAAAAAAATGAAAATTCTCTTTTTGCATTTCATTGCAAATTCAGTGAATTCTGATTGAATTACAAACAACAAGAAAGATGAGAACCATTTCCCCCTGAGTTGGTGAAATAAAATCATGATAATATCATAATAATATAATGGAAGGTAAAATAATCGTAGTAAACAAAAGGTAAGTCAATAAATTCCCAACATAATGAGCATTCCCTGATTTCTCATCTTATTATAATGTTTATTTTCCTTGTATATATTTTATTATATACTTATTCATGTGATGGAGAGAAGTGGGTGAGTGTCTGGTGGAATGAAGAGAGAGAGAGAGAGAGAGAGAGAGAGAGAGAGATAAAACAAGCCCCTCAGAATTTTCTTTCTTTCAACATTTTTTGCCTTTCTTTTTGCATCCTCATCTTTTGCCTCTTCAAGCATCAGGATGAAGATGAAGATGAAGATGATAACAATGCTGATTCTGTGCAAGAAACTGGATCAAGTTAGAAGAGGATAAAGTTCAATCATGGAATTCATTTCCTCCTCATCATCACCATGAGTTGAGTTACAGGTTACATCTTATTTCATAATCATTTGTGCTAACATTTAGTTTCCATCAGCAACATCCCAAGATAATCATCACTTAATCAGTCCTAATAATTTTCCCTTTCTCCTTGATTTAGTTTACATGATGATTACAAGATTATCATCATTATCATTATCATTATCGTTATTATCCTCGATATCCAGTAATTAAACTATAATTAATTGTTAATCTACAATGTGATTGATTTTCCTCTTCTTCTTCTTCATCATCAGATCAGACTTTCTTTTTGTTTCAACTTGGCAATCAACTCACTGAGAGTTAATTGTTACTACAATTACACCTTGGATTATGATTAATTTGTGACAATCTAACTGATTAAATTGTTTGCTTGTTTGATTAGATTGTTTCGATTGTCGATTTGTTTATTATTAACTTTTGCTTGTTGCTCTCAAATTGAAAATGCCTCTCAAACCAATTTGGGTTCTCACTTGGGATATTTTAATAGTGATAACAATTAAAATCAAATCAAGTAAGTAATCATTTCATTTTCTAATTGATTTCTAATTGTCTGATTGTTTAGATTGTCCATTAATCAGTAAACCATTTTGATGATGATCATTACCTACGAATCCCATAAGATTGGGATAACTCAATTGAGAAAATGATTATTTTGTTGAGGAGGAAAAATCCAATTCCAATAAGAAATCATCATCCTGATGATCATCAGGAAAGATGAATTATCATCATTAGGATGACCTTTAAATGGTGATTATCTTGAAACAATTTAAAGGTCAATTAAGTTCAATATTATTATTGTTCAATCAACGGAATAGTATTGATTAAACAATCATTCAGATTAATTAACATGTAACATCAATTGAGAGGTAATTAAAATGAATTTCAAATTGTTCAGCGATCAGCAATTCTGAACAACTGACCAAATTGACTAAAGTTAATCCTTGACAGTTACTAATCAGCAATTTATTTCATCTACAATTAACTTGAAATGTAATTAAAAGTTGAAATAACAAGACAGAAAAAATCATTTAGCATTGGAACAAGAAACTTACCATGAACATTTGTATTTCTGTCTGATTACATGACGATTACCAGAATTATCATGATTTTATCAGTTGATTGTTTTTTATTATTATCATAATAACAATAACATTTAATATGTTTAGATATCATGAAAGTAAATAATATAACATGAGAGATGATAACTTGAAACTGATGAGGAAGCAAAGAAAGACAGTTTTCATTTGGAATCCTTAGAATCCCCTGAAAATCACCGAAATCATCAGAATTCTAGGATTCAATTGTGTGTGTATTACATGAAAAAGGCGGGACCTGTAATCAGGATGACAAATAATGATTATCTCTCATGATGATTGTCGATATTGTGATGACATTTCACCCGAACTTGAACACGAAAAAGTATATTAAAGTTCTGAGTGTTACAAGTTTCGAGAAGAAAAAAAAATCGAAAATTTTTGTTCCACTTTCTTTTATCGAATTTGATTGATTGTTGATCTTTTTCTCTTCCACTGTTATAATCAACAAATTTATCTCTCTAATTATTGGTAATATTCATCTTCGTCCAATCAAGCAATCGGCGGAAAGGAAAACTGTACATTTGTATTCGAGAGTCGATTCGCCAAATTTGGTAACTTCACCTCACTCAGTTGGCCTTCCAAGTATCCAAATAACATGAGATGTATTTATTACTTTCGAGGTGAACCTTTCGAGGCCATAAACATTACTTTCCTTGCTTTTGACCTGGAGTCGCCTTTTCCTAAAGGGTAAGTTGAAAATCAATATCAACCATGAATCTTATTCATCATCAACATTAACCATATTATCATCACTCCAAGTATTCAATATAATCAGTTCAATGAATATCAGTATCATGAATATTTTGTTTACCTGGAAGGAAAGTTTCAAATCATCATTATCATCATCATAGCTATTTAATGGTTTATCATTATGGTTACTCTTTGTCAACAAAATCTTCATCACCATGATGATCATAATTTCATCAATACTGAAAAATTAACATGGATAAAAAAGTTCTGAACTGAATCAACATCATTAGTGTTTAATGTTTACTGAGATTTAAAGTTATCATCATTATCAGTAAATTGTAATCATTACAAGATTGTATTAGTTTAGAAGTCAGAACTTTTTTCATTCATTTTCAGAATTGAAACTACATGAGATTTTTTTTTGCATATATGCTTTTCCACTGAGAGTATTATCTTCATCAAGATTATCATCAGATCTTATCATCTTTTTGAATGTCAAACTTTTCACTCTTTTTACATGAATGAAAATATTTTCCAATCTATAACAATATTCAATGTTTCATGATGATAACTTGGTGATATTGAATCAGTTTAAAATGATATCCATCAAGTTAACATATGATTTTATGTATTCACATCATCAAGCTATTCATTGTATGGCTTTTTGTTGTTATTTTGACATAACAAAAGCATCATCATCATCATCAATATCATCAACTGGACAATGAAATTTTCTTCATCATCTTTTTTTTTATCTCATTTATCATGAAAAATGATAAATTTCAGCACAAAATCAAGTGAATATATTGAATGAAATGTTCATTGGTGTAAAAAAAGCTAAGGTAAATGGACTAATCATGTTCAATCATTGATCTAACATGAGATAAATTAAAATTAATGATGATTATCATCATCAATTCAATCCTTTTATAATCATCACCATGATAGTAAAAAAAAAGATCCATAAGAATACAATTGTATTAGTCACAATCGAGAGTTCGACAAGAAAAAAGTTCTAATAATCGTTGGAAACTTTTTGATATTTTCCAATCCATTGGAACTTTTTTCCCTCCCTGGATTTTGATATAAATTATGAACATGATAATTCAATTGGAATGACAATAGTTGCAATAAGTTGATTCAATAATAAACATCAACAATTGATAAAAAAATAATTCCATGAAAATTAGGTTAAAGTAACGGTAATATTATTGTTAGAGAATTCAATGTATTTTCTATGGAGAAAAATATTTCTTTTCTTCGAACTTTTTTTCTTCTTCTTATTCTTATTCTTATTCTTCTGATAAAGATAAATTCTGGGTCTTTAATATGCTATCATTCTCATCACCCTGTAAGAATTCATGTTACCCTGAATATCAGTTTAAATGTTTACTCGCACATGAATAGTTCAGTAAAGATAAAAAAAGGAAGATGAGGAGAAAAAACTAAATCCTTTTATCATTTTTCTCCCTCATCTTCATCATTATTATCATGATGAGGATGAGGATGAAGATGAGGATGCTTAAAGTAACAACAATTGACTTGTTATCTGCTCAGCATGAGATCCAAATATAAATTTAGAGTGATGATCAAGTTTTCACAAGAATCAATAATTTCCTTCACTTTTAATGGTTGGTTGAAAAACTATTATTTTCTTTTTGTTTTTTTTTTCTCTCGTTCCAAGATGATTTTCATGATAAATATTCAATTCTAACAGAATTTACTTCCCTTTTTAACATTCTAATTATTTTTATCACATTATCATCTAGAGATGAAAAAGTTTGTACAGATAAAAGGAAACAAGAAACTATCATCAAGACAAAATAACATTTATCATGGATTCAAAGTGTATATCATGAGTTCTGAAGATGAGGTTTTCTTTTCTCGAGATGAACTTATATCTATTCGTTTACATGATACATTTTTCATCATCTACCTGGAGAGAGAGAGAGAGAGAGAATATTTTACAAGATAACCTTTTCTTTTCTCAATGGTTCTTGTAGTCAGAGTGATTCTGAATTTCTCTCAGAACTTTTTCTTTCTCCTTATCTTCACCATTAAAAGAGGAATTGAAGCTCACGCACCATTGGAAAATATTATTACATGTAATGACATTTACATTGGTTTTCTGTTATTACTTTAGATTAGATGATTTTTGTTCCCTTATTGTTTCTTACTTTTCCCCCTGTTTCTCATGTAGATTCAGTGAGCATTCAAATGGTTACTGTCGGGTTTTAGAGTGGACAAGGGTCAGAGTACCGAACAAAACTCTCAAAGGTCCGTTCTGTCCCAATCAACTAATTCACTGGTGTTTTATTCACCCACTAATTAAGGTCTATCAATAAAGGTGGACCATTGGCTTTTATAAGCTCTTAAATTTAGCTTTTATTAACTATTGAATAATGGTCAGTATTAATGTTTGATGAGTAACTTGGAAAGGTTAATTGAAGGGTAAGAGTAACTAAGAGGTTACAAGAAGGAGACTTTTATAAGTGACAATTAGGTAAAGAGAAACAGGTAATGAGGACTAATTGGAATGACTTATAAAAGTTGAACAAATTAGGAACTTAAAAGTAATTAAAACAAAGATTCACTAATTGTTGCTTTATGGCAAAAATGTGTTGTCTTTTAAACCAAATGAAAGGTGATTGACAACAACAAAGGCGACAATTAGAGGTAGTGATTAATGAAGAAGCGCGAAAATTGAGGTTCTTAAGGGCAATACCTTACATATCCCCCGGTTTTTGATTAAGAATGGATCTCAATTTTTCAGAGCTGATTCTGTTCCCTGGACTCTTAATAAAAGGAGAAGGAAGAGATGAAGTGGGAGATAGTTGATTTTCAGGGGTATGAGGAGATAAAGTTCCATCAGCACATGAATTTGAATCGGAGGCACTATCACTTTCATCTTCTTGAATGAAGCTTTCATCAGCTTGAATAGGGACAGTTTCAGTTTCATCACCATTGGAATCCAATAAAGGAACATCATCTGAATGATGAGATGGTGAATCTTCTTCAGGAATAGTCGATAAAGGCTCATAAATTTTTTCTTTATCAATCTTTTCTAAGAGAACGAAATTTGGATCAACTTGTTCCGATCGATCAGAGATTCGAATTGGTTTATACCGATAAGTTGTATCATTCCATTCTTTTGGCCATTGAGCGATGTTTTTATCAACATTACTTTCGAATAGGAGTAACATGGCTGCGACATCTTGATTGCTGGTACAACTTTTGTTGTGAATTCCACCAGTGGCAGTAGCAATTTCCTCGATTCTTTCCCATTCGAAGAAGTAGAGATTAAGGGCAGCGGAAGCTTCAATAGCTGGAGAGTGAGGAATTGGTTTTATAACATAACCTCGGAAGATGAGAAAAGATATAATATGAAGAGACATTGGATTAGTGAGATAAGGAGAGTAATAATAGATCATATCTCGGAACTTTGGACGAAGACGATTTATCTCATCATTGGTGTAACCAAAGTTTTTGCATAATAAAAATAAACTTGATCCGATGATTTGTTTAGAGGCCACGAAGTATTTAGTTACTTGATCACGGGCTGAGATTAAACTCTTAGATCTCTTGATATCATCATAGGTTAAACCATTAAATTGGCTATTCATATTCGCTATGATATTTTTTGGATATCGAATGAAGGTCTCATATATAACTTCATGGTTACCATTGATGATGATGACCCAAATCGGTAGATTTTTACCATTAGTTCCAACACAATAAGTAGCATGAACACTGATTGTTCGCTCTTTTTCAGGGTGAATTTCGGAACGGGCGATGATATCATTGAGGACGGTTGATGGGATTGAGGGAAATTCAGGTGTAGGACGACATTGCCATCGCTTTAGAAAAGCAAGTCTTTTCACATTGTTACGATATTTCCTCTCGGATGAAGCATTTTCATCGGTTTTGATTTCATTATCAGGGGTTACAATACTTTCATAAGTAAAAAGTTCTTGGTGATAATCTTCTTGCTCAGCTTCTGGAACCATGAAAAGAGGATCAATAAAGATGAATGGTTTTTCTTCACTATCTGAATAAACGGATGTAGTTGAAGAGGCAGAAGTAATTGAGAGAGCACGATCCCATTCAGGGCATTTATCTTTACGATTTTTCTGAATCCATTGTAAAGTAATCGAGGGAAATTTTTGGTATTGGAAAGCTCTTGGTTTGCGTTGAAATGAATGAGTAGGATGATCCCAAAGGGCTTTAGGTCCTGAAGTTGGTGCAAATCCAATAGCTTGAGCCCATCGTTCACCATCATAAACTGGTCTGTATGGGTCATTAATTTTTCTTTCATTTTCACCAAAATTGTCTCTAATATTGGCTTGTAATCGTAATGTAGATGGAGGAAGATCATCAGGTTTCTCTTTATGAGAACGGAGGAGAAAATTGTAAACTTCGAAACGTTGATTCCAATAAGCAGGAATAGATGAGGCACATGAAGTAAGGGCACGATGTTGAGGAACAAGAATATCGGCTAAGGAGCAAGTAGATTCCTCGAGACTTTTTCGCACTGGTCCTTTATTGAAGTTGAGCGATAAATTTGTATCATAATTAGAGTCCCAATCGCCTCGGAAACATTTCTTTTCATGAAGAATGATATGGTCGGAGGTTGATCTGAAGAAACAGAATTTTCGACGACATTCAAATTTACATTCTCCATAAAGGGAAAAATTTGTTGAACCATTTGGTTTACCGAATGAAGGAAAGAAGCTTTCATAAGCTACACGTCGAAGGCAAGAGGCAGTAATACATAAGAATTCATTTTCCAATTTTGGCTTAATGATGTTGATTCTTTCTGGAAATCGGTTGAGCCATGAAGCACATTCGAAACAGTACCATCGGTGACAACCAGAACAAACTGAAGGTTCAGCACAAATCTGTTCACATAAATGACAAAGGATTTTTTCAACGAAATCAAATAGATTTGAATGGAAAACTTTAGCAGCTCTGAAACCTTTATGGGCATCGGTGTAATC